AAATGCGTTGCACAAATGAGTCTCAATGATAATGTAATCTCAAACCACTAATGCAGAACTTGATTATACAATTTCGTAGGAAGTTATATATGGTAGTGGTGGGATAAGGTTTCGATGCAGACAGTTTTCATGTGTACACTGTAAACTGCAATTTTTTCATTCTATACAGTTGAAGTGTACTGTACCAATAGTAAGTGTTCAACTCGTAGAGATATATTCGAATAGTTATTGATGTCTGCTACGCTTTTCATCTGAATTCGGCACGAGCAAGGCTCAAATTCCAGTTTATGGTGCCTGATTTCACATTCTTTTCATTTTTTTAGTTTTTTTTGTTATTCACAATTACTACCGTTATTACTTACTGGTTTGGGAATATGATTTCTAAGCTTTTGATATTAAAATTGTTGCAGTGCATTTTCGTGCTCTTTAAATTTTCTAAAATACACAAAAATTCCTCAGGTTTTGAGGTTGTCATTTGAAAAATCGCCATCATTATTAGGACATTCGCTAAGAGTTATACGAAGTTATCTTCGTTCTCAATGCAACTGTTTCGCACTGAATTCGTTGGTTTTGCGACCAGAACATGACAAATGATCATTATTACACATTCTGCGGGAAAGCTAATTAATTTATCGGATAGTACTGATAGAATGAAGCATTTGCGCTTATCTTTAACTTATCTCACCTTTTTCAATCACAAGCAGGAAAATCGTTACGGAAGTAACCAGGCATGCAATGAAACATCTGAAAACTTCAAAAACTTTCTTTGTTGTGCAATAGCGGGAATGAATTTGTAAAATATTACTGTATTTTGCGAAATAAATCTGTAACTCATTGCCAGCAGCACATTCAATACACAGTCTGTAATTTGGCTTTCTTTTTTTTTCTTCATTGCGATTTTTTTATTTCTTCAAGTAGATCAAAAAATTGGAACCAAAACAGCAGAAATCATAATTATGGTGAGCATCAGAGTTAAAAAGCAAATTTTTTTCACTATTTCGTTATGAAGTTCAGAAAAGAAATGAAAAAACGATGCCTTATGCTTTACCCAAAGGATACTCTAAATAATGTCTTAGCTTTATAATTAAACTCGATTTTAGTATGATTTTAATCTCTAAACCACTTTTTTTGTTACATTGATATTGGGGAAAAGCGATAGCAATGCACCGTAGTTTATTAATTAACGAGAAACTGATGGTGCGAATTGTTGTTGGCACCATTGCATTCACGCAAATGCAGCTTCATTAATCATTCTTCCACTGAAGTGAAACGACAATCAAGTCCACGAAACTCCTGCATTTCTACTGTAACTTATGTTGCAGTGTAGTTGACTATAAAATTTGGATGAATTATTTAAATAATTATTTTTCTTTTAATGCAAAAATTTTTATGCTTAGTAACCAACAATATTGCACTATTGCACAGTTCTCATATATAAGTTATTAGAAAATTCTCTTGGCTACTCATTTTCAGTACAAATAATTTTTGAGCATTAAGCAATTCTCATGAAATTGAAGTATAACCAAATCTGTAGCTAAAAATAAAAAGAAACAAGCTTCATCGAAAAAGTTTAATTGTCTCTGTATCAGAACTGATGCCACAGATATATGTTCCTATTTGCATTTTTATACAGTTTTATTGAGTTTTTAATTTTTTTGGAGTGTAACTCTCAATTCTTTCTTTTTTGTACAAATTTCAGCAGTGAAAATCTTTCTTTCCTGGAATAACATCATAAATTTAATTGCCTCTTAAAGTGAACCAAGAGGTATCAAAAAAGTGAACTGATTTTGCTGATATGACTTCGAGCTTAGGTGTGGCTTAGTCTAAGCATGTTGCATGTAGATTGCAACTTACGTATTTCATGATCATTCTTCACGAGTAATTTTGCGTAAAATGAAAAATGTAAGTATGTATTCCACGTAAAATTACGATCCTATCCATTTTTAAAAAGACCTTAGTGTTTACTATATTTATATGGCATGATAAAGTCGAGTGGAAGTAGTGTAATACCCCTCTGTTTGCATAAATTATACATTATGTAGTTCAAAAAATG